ATATATATATATATATATATATGTGTGTGTGTGTGTGTGTGTGTGTGTGTTCGGAAAGAATACTTACAAACAACACAAGTGCTGATAATATATGAAAATACAATGCAGGAAATATATTAGACCTATATACTTTAGGCCTATTCCAAAATACAAATAAATTTGTTTCTTGATAAGTTACAGCTATAGGATAGTATACACATAATCCAATAATCGAAGTGCACGCCATCGTGTCGTGATTCAATATTTCGACATTAATTATGTCATCATCAGGAATGACAGCTACAGAGTTTAACTTATTTTTTTTTTCCAAATATTTAACTTAGAATGTTTTTCTAGGATAACATAAATGTAAAATAATAATATATATAGGCCTGTATTAAATATAAAATTAAATATATATAGGCCTATTATAAAATTATATATTAAATATAAATATATCAAATATATAGGCCTATTAAATATAAATATATATATATATATATATAGTTGAAATATATTAAACTGTATAAATCAAGATTTTGAGTACATTAACGGCACTAAGATCACTTTATGCTGCATTCTATTTTCATGAATTTGTTTATGCGATTGTTATCGGCCTATTTAAATTAAGGCGCATTTTTACGACCCACGGATCGTTTTTAAGTCACTATTTAAATAATATTACACTTTATTAAATTAAAATGATATTGCTCTGAGACTTTATTGTAGAGAGCGCTTTAAAAAAAGGCTTCTTTATTATTACTATTATTATTATTATTATTATTATTATTATTATTATTATTACATAATTTTGAAGATTACTTATATTTACATTGTTGAATGTAGGTAGCAAAAATATGTGCCTACGATCAAAACTATACAGTATGTGATTACACAACAACAGATCTTTAGCTCTATTTTGTTGTTACTGTTCACATTTTCACTCAAGATATTCCGGTTTAATGCCATTGTATTATGGCCAAAGTTTAAGATTTGCTATGTTGTAAAATAGTCCACAAAGTGAACGAAAATGACTCTCTACAAACCGACTTTAGAGCACAGTCTCCGTCCTGAAAATGTAGGCCTGAACAACAACAACAACACAACAATGGATGCCGCAATTTATCTAACATCATGTAGGCATACAGGCTTTTACGACTACAGTATGGCATAGTACACGCTCTACTTACCTATATGTATCTTTTCCAAACTTAGAAGAAACACCATTCCAATATTAATATTTTAGATGTTTTTCTTTTCGAAGTGTACAGTAGTTCACATACACCTTTCTTTCACCGTAATTTGGATGTTATCATACAGGTGCACAACCAACCAGGTATCTGAAGGAAAATTGCTGCCAAGGACAGTTGCGCCCTACCAGAGCTAAACCTACAAATTATTAGTTCAGCCCCCACCCTCCAATTGGTCTAACCGGGGACGAACCGGGGGTGACTGGTGGTGGTTTTAATTTTTGCTCTCAAGGGCTTCGATCCGTGGTTAGTGGTTGAAAATGGGGCGTGGTGGGGACGAATTGCAAAACAAGCCTTGGGCCGTAGGCCGAAGCCTTGGTTGGGGGACGGGGGGGGGCGTCTTGGACCCCACGGTGGGGTTCCAGGGGGAGAACCCCTTGGAACACTGGCTTCTAGCCTTTTATAAGTCGCATCAAATTGAATGCATTTATTTCCACACTACCTTTTCAAAATACAGTCGCGGATCCAGGTAATTGAAAGAAGGGGGGGGGGGGCAGCGAGGGACCTTTACAGATGGAGTGTAGACCACCTCAGCCCCAACCAGGGGCTGAGGTAAGAACATTTATCATTATGGTAGTTGGCCGGAAATGGCACTCTCAGACTTAAATTTGAATATAATTTTCATTTCCTCTACTTTTAAATTTTGAAAGGGTGGGCCCCATTGGATCTGCCACTGAAATACTCATTAACAAGTTTTTTCAATTTATCCTGGTAATCATAATCATACACGCTTATATATTTGTAAACTAACATTCATAAAAATAATGATTTGTTATCTACTGATTAATCCTCTTTTTGAATTTCACTTTTGTGCAAGTACTATTGCAACTAACACTAATGTGAGTGGAAATACTACCGTTTATTACGATCAAACAGGACTAGGGAGATAGGAAGCACACAACACATTTATTGTAGTTAGCATTTTTATTTCAGAAATTTAATTAATTTAGCATTATCTTAACGTAATTGCAAGATTGCGTCAACGTAACATCGGAGTTCGTAAACTTGTGGTATCACTCTTAAACAAGTCGAAATAGATAGACCTATCCGTGTCAAAGGCTGTATAATTATTGTTTAGTAACGGCTTAATAAAATTCAATTGACTGATTATATTTTTTTTAAATTAGGAAAAACAGGAATCTATGTAATATTAAACACAAGTATACACGGGTCTTAATAATATACAAAAGGAATAAATCGTTTATAGTAGAAATTGTGCAATTTTGCGTTTGTAAAAATGTTGGTTTAATAGGTTTATACCCTTCCAATTTTAACAACGTACAGTAATTAATTCCTCCATGCTGAGATGGTTACGAAATGTGCGTTTTTACTCGGTTTTGGTCCGAGAATACGCACCGCACTTGGAACATAGCACAAGTGACAACAGACAAAATTCATGACAGTCATTCGTAGTTGTTGTTGTTCTTCCCACTCGCTTTGAAATGTGGGGTTTTAACTATAGAAATTTAGTAAAAAGTTGGGGGGGGGGGAACAATTGATATGATGTCCCCTACTTTGAAGTGTCCCAAATCCATCGATCGACGCAAATGCATGCCGTCCCCTACTTTGAAGTGTCCCCCACCCCCATCGATCGACGCCCATGCATGCTCTGCATGGATGGGGCTGAGGTGGGCACATTAAGGATTAATTCATAGAATTAATAGTGCACACGAAACATGCACATGGTGAATACTTAAATGACATTCAAATGACATTGAGGTGCAAAATTATTAATAAATTTATATAATTTATAGATGAAAGTATATATATTTTAAAAGTATTAAACATATGAGAAAAAGTGGTCCGGTCAAAGCCAGTGCGGTTCCGATGGCCCTGCACAGCGGAGCTGTGGTCTACAAAAGGTCACAGCTATATGAGTATATGCACATAATACAGGACGTAAAGGTGCTTTGTTGTTTTATTGGAGAAATTTTTACTATGTTTCAGAAGAATATCGAAGTGGCATTTTCTCTGTCAATTAAAATGTACAGTACTGTATGCCATTCCAATTTGCTTTGAATTTAAGGATTCTAAATCAATGAAAAATAAATTATTTCAAAATGTGTCTCATTCGAAATGGGAACAAGTTATTCAAACATGTTATTAATTTTTATTTTAATCATTTTCTTTACAGATTTCGGGACAATTTTTATAGGCCAGTTTTCTTCATATTTGCTCAAAATAAACATACATTGATTGAAATTAGTAATTCAAACATCTTATTTTCACTTTATTCAATTTTTTTTACAGATTTCAGCACAAATAATATACCTAGTACCTAGTCCCTTCATATTTGCTAAAAACACAAACATACATTGATTGCAATGAGTAATTAGAACATTTGATTAATTTTCATTTTATTGATTTCTTACAGATTTCTGCACAGGTAGTATAGATATAAATTAATGCCCAGTCCCTTCATATTTTTCAAAAAACAAACCTTCATTGATTTTGTTATTTTATATTAGAAAGATTTGTAAATATGAAATAACTATTTCAACTGAAATTAGTTATAACCTCAACATGAGAAAAAGACAAAATAAGACCCAACATTTCATATTGTGTGTGTGTGTGTGTGTGTGTGGGTGGGTGTGTGTGGGTGTCTGTGTGGCAAATGGTTGATGGCAAAAAATATTAATGTATTAAATTTTACAATAGATCAATCAGTGAAAAAATATAAAAAGTGCCATAGCCCTACAGTTGACAACCTTGACCCCCCTGGGACCCAAAACAAATTACCATATCCTCTCACCACCCAATGTCTCTAGTTACAAACCCCTTAGAAGTGTTGTCACAAAAACCAGAATATATTGCAAATATCCTAATCGAAATACTGTGTAGTAATTTTGCCACCCCAGGATCCACAAACTCATGTTACACCACTGTGGCACAATGTCAACTCATCAATAAGGTGACATCAACGGGATACTTAACATAAATTTTTGAAGAGAATAACCAACGTTTTATTAAATCATCTTATAACAAGTTTTTCTTCCATGTATCCATAGGAATCTTATTTTTTTTACTGTTAATTGCAGCACTTTCTATAATTTTTTAGACCACAGATTCCACCTGGCGACCCTCAAAAGTTCATCCACTACCGTAGTCATAGACCATCCGTCACCAAAATTTAGCAACTGCAAGGCCTAGGTGTACTTGATTTCAGAATGTTACATATAAAAACAACCAACAAGATATATTGAATACAACCATTTCCTTGAATTATTTAAAACTTATTAAAACTGATTTTGACTTAAATCTTGATAATCTTAAGTCTAGTTGACTGATTCAATTTTTCATATTTAGATTAATACATGCATATATTTTTTTATAGAGAAAATAACATGTAGGGCCTGGGGATTTAAGCATATTGATGAAAAAGTTCTTCAAAATTATTAATCAAGTAAACAGACTTAATAGTATATATAAAAAGTGAAATGTTTTGTTATGAAGCAGAATGCTTTCGGTAAAAGTGGAATTGTTATTTATTTAAATAATTACAACAACCTAGAAACAACAACTACAATATTGTAGTGAATGACAACTTGTGATTTCAAAATCTCTAACAACTTCATTATTATTTATTATCACTTGTACAACAGAATATCATTAGAGATTTGTATTAATAAAACCAATTCTGAATAATAATCAGATGCAAGATTATAATTTAACATTAATGTACTATAGTTGTTATTATTGCAATAATAATAACTATAGTACAATAATGTACTATAGTTATTATTATTGCAATAATTTATTTATCTTATTGCAATAATAATAACTATAGTACATTAATGTACTATAGTTATTATTATTGCAATAATTTATTTATCTTATTGCAATAATAACTATAGTACATTAATGTACTATAGTTATTATTATTGCAATAATTTATTTATCTCTGTATTTTTTTGATTGCTCTCCTTGTAGCCGTTTTGCATATGATTGCGCCATTGAGTTGATAATAGAGATTACAAAGTACATGACCATTACTATTATTACTTTTTCAAATATCCAGGACAGCCAATTTGTACCCTAAAAAAAAACCAAAAGAAAAACACAAAGTTACTACTGGTAAAACAGTTAACACTCAAAATAGAAGAATTGAATAAGAAAAATAAATACAAGAAAATTTGTAATAAACTGGAATTACTCAGGGACAATATACCTATATTTCTCTGCTTCTTCCTTGAACTATTTAACTGCATTGATTAAATTTGTTCAAATTCAATTCTAAAACATAACAGGTAAACATTTATTTAAATCATAAAACATTAAATACAAATCATTATATTGTAATATTTTTTTATTCTCAGGAAAAGCACACCAACCAATTAGAAATATGCATATTTATGATGTGGAAGACCTTGACATTGACATAAAAATCAAAACTTATATTGGATTAAAATATACAGTTGCCTTTACAAAATACCATACCATATAATTTCAAAATTACAGTGGCTACTGCTACACCAGTCTTAAACCAATAGAATGATTCGGCAATGTTTGTTTACAGCTGGTCATGTGACACAAGTTGGGTATACCACGGAAAACATTACACCGTGATCAGTGTGAAAGTAAAAGAAAAGGTATGTTATGCTTGCAAAAACAACCACCCACTGTTAATGCAAGAAACAAATGGCAATGAAAGGCAATACAATTGTTCAAAATAATATATATTTACTTATTCTAGCATTCTCCTAGCATTGTATGCTTTGAAATTTAAGTGATCCTTAACCATAGCTAGCCTTAAAATCTTAGCCTAGTTTACGGGTTGAAGACTCGCATGCATAGCTAAACAGGCCGTAGATATGCAGGGGCCTAGGCCAAACAGTTGTCAAAAAATTACAATGTTTGCAGCCAGTATCCTTTAGAGCAGGGGTTCTCAACTATGTCACAATAGGGGCAAAAAACTGTTCATTGAATGCACTTGAAGTGCGAGTCCATTGCTTACATCCACCTCCCAAGTTAGGTCCTGTGACGCTCATCATTGAATCGGTCTATTCCTAATTCTGATTGGATGTTTTTGTCCTAATCCAATGCATATATATTTAACCATACAATCCGAATTATTAACTGGTTTAAGACTGGCATAACAATAGCAACTGCCTTAAAAAAAAAGATGAATGACAGATACCTGCTTGCTATACGTTCCAGGTTTGTGGTGAAGTTTGGCTTTTTGACCCTCAAGGTATTCTTTAAATGGAAGTTGTACCATTGCACCAACCTTTGGAATGGTTCTGAATAAAAAATAAAAACATCAAGCAACTATTAATATGTATAACACACCTAAATAGATCCCGGTCATTTGATTGGTAGATTTCGTGTCACGTGACATTATTTATTTACCCCATTTCGTCACTCATCATGGAAAGTTAGTTCAACTGTTTATTTCTATTTGTGCATTTTCTTTCTGATTTTTTTTTTCATTGCACGGTGCATAGGATAAGACATGGCGATCAACCTAATACAATATTTGATTGGTTAAAGAGACGCTGGACTGTTCTATTTAGAAAAGGGTAGATTTTTTCATAAAACATCAAATGACTAGAATCTCCATTCAGAAAAAAGGTAGATTTTTTCATAAAATATCAAATGACAAAAATCTATTTTAGGTGTGTTATGAAAACAATAATGAAATTTTTTTTATAAACATTGATTATCTGTATACACTAATTAACTGTGTCCCAAAGTCTTATTTTTGGAAATGTTCAAAAAACCAGTTATTTTATATATTTTTGGTAGATATTTCCATCATAAATGCATGTGCACAAATAACTGTGGAAGGCAAAAATTATCTTTATCTCCACTACAGGGTTGGCGTACTTAAAGTCCCCTGTATCTAAGGCTGGAAAAGTAACAATTTCAATAAATAACCCCCCTCATGTTAACGATAACATACTCAAGCACCTGAAAATACCAAAAACTTTAATTTAACAATTTCTGCTACAACTTCGCCATTTTGGCACAAGGTACATCACTTATAAATGCATTAAAGTACTATTGCAGGCAGTGGAATTTACATTTGTTATTGATTAACATATGTACTTACCCAACAATGTTTACTAGTGTCTCGACATGATGTTCACTAAATACTAGTACCACAAAGAATTTCTAAAAAGAACACAGGAGATGAATTGTAAGTTACAAGCAAGATCATTAAAAATGAAAGATAAAAAGAGGATTAATTTCTTGAAAATTGAAAAAGATATGGTAATTGTTTTAAAATTGTTATAATTGTTTATATATTCAAAGTTCATGAATTGACTAGGCCTGAAAGACAAACTGAATACATATTTTTCAACTATAATAAATACAATACCTGGATATGCATTTTAATCACTGCTTTTCCTATGATAGTTGCTCCAAAAAATGTCCAGAATGGCACAAGGAAATGACCACATGTTATTCCAGCTAAATCAAACAAAGGATTTGGAATCTGAAGGAGAAAAAATTGTAACTGGTTAATTTTAGTAATGGTTCGAATCCCAAGCTAGTAAATATATTTTTCTCAAAAAGTTAATTTCATGATATTATTATATCTTATTATATATTATTATATATACTTCGTACTTACTGATGCACAAGCAAGGATTCCAATAAAACCAACTCTCTGGACCAAATTCTGGACAGCAAACTTTAATCGTGTTACAAAATCCTAAAAATAAACACGAAAAACAATGTTACCAATGTTTGACATTGTTACATAAACATTTCAAACTTTTATAAACTCATAATAAACACACACACACACACACCTGCTCCAAAAAAATATAATTGAAAATAATATGAATAATAAAAAAAAAAATTAATTAAAATAAAATTGCAGTAATCTCTCCCAGTTTACTGCCCAATTGTTTACCCAGGATGATAGTACATGGGCCCCCGACAAATTTATGACTACAAATGAGTGAGTTTACATAAATTTTAAACATTTCTAATAGGAAGAAACAAATCCTTTGTTCATACTGTTATTACCGGGGAATTTGCGACTACTGTGATATGAGCAAATTTCTCACCTTTTGTTTTTCACCAGAATTTTCCATGAATGATTCAAATTCTGCGTAATCTTCATTGTCAGGATCTTCACCAGTAAGCCGTGCTATTTAATTGTGAAATAAGGAAAAATGTGTTTGCTATTCAAGCCAATTGACGAAAACAGATGGCCACATTTAAGGCTGCTACTCTTCACAGTTAAAAGTTTATTATAGTTTCCTTTTAAAGATATACTGCTTTGCAAAAAAATCGATTTGAGGGCACTGTATGGTATTTATCGAATAGCTGATAACTGAATAAAATACAATACATTTTTTTTTCTTGTTTCTCATTTTTGATTTAGGTATTTATGAATATTTTTATTGTCCAGTGCCTTTTGGAATTTTTAGTATGGTATTTTCAATGTATATTTTTTTTGCTTGTTTTTATAATGCAAATTAGTTCTTACTACAATATAGCATACTTAAGTCTTTGTGTTGTTTCTATTTGCATGTTTTTGAAATTTTATATAAAATATACTATGAGAATGAATGAATTGGTTAGCTGTATTCCTATGCAACTCTTTTAGACAGGTCTTAGATAGGTTTCTGTCTGGTGGAATGCCATAAGAATCTTGAACTATCTACTTTATACTTTATTGCAACAAAGTTTTTTAAGGTCAGTTTATAAACTGTCGGTAGCAGTGTAACAAAAACTGACGCAAAATGCACCAGGTTTAAAGGCTTGTTTACACTATATTTTTAGGAATAATTGCTTTTTAGCTTTTTATCGTTGATCGTTATCATCATAGTGTTAACAGGCCTTAAGGGAATGCCGTCCAGCTGGTATACTAGCTTGACAATTACTGAGACACAATTACAAGGCAATACAATTCCAGACAAGGCAATACAATTGCTGACCTTACCTAACCAACTAATACGATACTGATTGTAATGGTTCATACATACCTGCTTTAGCCATAAAATAAGGTGGAAGTTCACCCAAAGCTGTGCCTGCCCCCTGAAGTATAGAAGGAACATATTGTACAGTAAAGATGTTACATAACATAATGTATCTTTAAGTGACTAACGTACAAACAATCACTAGTATTAGTTAACTCTATTGGTTTACTTTATGGAATATGCGATAAATGATTGCCATTAATTTTTCTGTAGTCGTGGCATTTTTTATTATATTTACTGTATTCATTTTTGGTGAGCTGCTCAATTATGGACTTGTTTTGTGATCTGCAACAACATAACAATTTTTATCCACAGGAAGCCTAATAGTGGTTTACCTGGGTAAAACCCACCTAACAAGCTTTTGTGTAATGTTAAGGTGGAGTGTGGCTGGATAAATACCAATATTCCAATGGGAAATTCTTCTTGGTAAGACTATTTCATCTAAAATAAAGTACCTACAGTGAAATACTCACCCACATAAATGCCTCCAATCTAACTTTACTAATTACATTCCAGATTGTAATTACTGCTCCTTCTGGTACTTCCTTAGGGCAAATAATTCTGCAATATTAATGAATAAGTCAGGCTAGAGGTAAACTATTTTACCTTTTTTTAAAATCATTTTTTAAAAATTATTTTTTATTTCCTTCACATCCAACAACAATTAACTTGACAATTAAAGGATAGACGATGCTTTATAAAAACCAAGTGTCTTTTTGAGGCTTTATAAGCTAAGTGTCTTTTTGAGGCTTAGGGAGTGGAGTTGTTTTAGCTGCAAACCCAGGAGCCATGGATTAGAAGGCAAGCTCCTTATGGCCCTGTCACATCTTCATGATAAAAAGCCTGCCTGCTGCTTGTTGATTCAAGTTTTGGGTATGCTAGATATTATCTTGACGTCCTTCGACTTATGAGTAACTTCCGCGTATGCGGAACATATGAGCCATACGCTGGCAAGCGTTGAATAATGTAGCGCATGCACACAATTTTTTGATGACCTCGCCGTACTACAATGTACACTTAACTTATACAAAACTTACCCATAACTTATTCGATGTACGGAAGCGTATTCGCCATATTTAAATGGTCAAGGTGTGACACGGCCATAAATCACTAAGCTATACAATCCACTCCTAAATAGTATACCAATTTAAATACTGATTTATTTTTTTAGCCTAATGCAGACAATAAATTACTTAACAACAATTTAACTTACTCATCTGGGTAAGGTGGTTGTGGAAAGTCGACCGATTGACACTCAAAGGAGGCCAAAGTTACTGCTGCTATGTGAGGTCCCTATTTCACAAATACAAAAAAACAATAGAATATTATAAATAATGAATGTTTGTAAGTGCAACGGAAAAAATATTTCATGCACTGAAATACAGACTGTTTCATTGCATAAATACATTATTAATTACTGGCTTTATAACACATCTAAAATAGATCCTTGATATTTCAAATTTTATGAAAAGTTAGACCTGCCAGGGGGTTTTCTGTCCTGCAAGGAACCTAGGTATAGGAGCATCATTTCATAGCCAGGACTGAGGGTCGTAAGGGTGGTATTTTGCTGTCAAAAATTATGCTGTTACTGTAGATATTTCGACATATTCACTTTTATAGACAGAATTAATGTTGTTGACGCTGTTGTTGTTGACATTTTGTTGCTGTTGGCATCATTGTTGTCACTACTATTGCCATCATGTTCATCTGATTATTTGCAATTAATATGTCATAATCTGCATTACAAATCTACTGAACAAATTTAATCTTTTCAAGACCAACACTGAAAAATAAACAAATGCTAATACTATCACCCTCAAACTGCCTATTGAATCACACTATGGTGTTGCATAGGTAATTTTAATGTTTTTACTTACCAAATACAAAAGGAATGTATGTAAGCCTGTACCCAGGCCAACTGATGAGAGAATTCCAAGGCCAATCCAGTACACACACCATGATAACTTGGCCCATGTGGAGTTTAAATACTGCAAACATAAAATCATAATAAAAACAAAAATTGTAAAAAAAAAACACCATACATTGTGGAACAGGATGAACATAACAGAAATCAAGTAATTATAGGGTAAGAGAGCAGAAATTAAGTACTCTATTAATTTGGATAAACACCCAGCTTTGGATAAACGCCCCTCGAACGCCCATCATTCTCAACACATTTTCTATATGTTTTATTATTACTATTATTATTATTATAATTATTATTAATTATTATACTTTTCGTATATATTGTTTAGATTTAAATTTTCTTAAATTTTGTCAATTGTTTGAATTGTTGTTTACATCATCACTGCTACAAGCATGTTGCTGTTTAGGTGATGCCACTATGTTCCTTGTATTATTTTGTTATGGAGGTGGAAATAAATGTTATTGAATTGAATTACGACCAGTAGAATTATATTTGTCAACATGGTTGTGATCATTAAGTTCTTATTGTATGTTGATCAAAAAAATAAAATGAATGAATGAATATTACATTTTTTTTGTACTGTAACTAAAAAATGCCTTATATATAGAAAGGGGCATTTCTTTCAAGTATATGTATCCATTTACAAAAAAAAAAAAAAAAAAAAACTCAAATACCCTTCTCAACAATATATGTTGGAGGTGCTTATAGAAATAAGTATGGTAATTACCTCTTGATGGGGCCCATCAAGGACGCAAATGATGGACAGTAAAAGAAACACACTCAACCCAAATGAAACTTTCTTCTTGTTTAACCACAACCTGAGATAAAGACGAATCGCAATTAACAAGTAGAAGATGTAGGTTTGCGGTTAAGTGCCCATAGTCCAATCCCAGCATCATGGGTTCAAATCACAATTAAATACAGAATTTTCTTGTGTGATAAAAAAAATAATCTCCTAAGGATTGTAATGAGTCAAGGATTGCTTGTTGGATGTGAATTGGTTAAAAACATAATCCTATAATAACCAATGTTATTGCAATCCTGTGACCCATTTACAAAAGAATCTGCATAATTGCGATTAGACTTGAAATTGAATGCAGATTCTTGATCCTTTATATGACATTTGACCTGCATGCATAATAGTCAATGCTTAGTAAATTAAATTATTTTTTTAGCAATGGTGCTGGCTTTTGAGAAGATGTACTGTAATAATACCATTATACGTTAGTATTAAGTCAAAGCTTATAATATAATATCTTGTCTGATAAAAAAAAAAATCTCCTAAGGATTGTAATGAGTCAAGGATTGCTTGTTGGATGTGAATTGGTTAAAAACATAATCCTATAATAACCAATGTTATTGCAATCCTGTGACCCATTTACAAAAGAATCTGCATAACTGCGATTAGACTTGAAATTGAATGCAGATTCTTGATCCTTTATATGACATTTGACCTGCATGCATAATAGTCAATGCTTAGTAAATTAAATTATTTTTTTAGCAATGGTGCTGGCTTTTGAGAAGATGTACTGTATAAAATAATACCATTATACGTTAGTATTAAGTCAAAGCTTATAATATATATAAGACAGCTGAAAGTCAAATAGTCGGAGGTCAATCTAAAGGAAAGTAGTAGAATAATATTACAGATTATTATAACGTAATCTGTGTAGGCAGCCTACAGTGTTTTTGTTGCCACACAGCACATGACATTATTGAATATAATGCATAGTAAATTTTCTAAAAAACAAAGAAGTTGTTGTATGCTACTCTCATTACAGAACATGCAGGAGAAGATGGGCTTGCCATACCACAAATGCATCAGTGACCAAACTTTTATTAAATATTCATATTCTTCAACTATAAGCTTAACATTACAGGTGACATACTGGAATTGACTAAGTTATGAGTAAAAGTATTACTGATTTCGTAAAGTACACAATACTGCGATATTCTTATGCTACAGTACTGTATGCTAATTACTGTACTCAGTTTAAGATTTAGCGACAGTACGCTGGTTTTTGGATGGCAAGACTCATATTAAAGTTGAAACACATAATGCCACAACTGAATGGAAATATAAGATATATGCACACCTTCAGTATTGCTATTAACAATTTGTATGTACTGTCCAATTGTGATTGAAATTATGGTAGAAATTTTGGTAATGTAATTCGATTTTAGCGCTTTATACCAAAGTCTTAAAATGCTTGAGGTGTCGACTAGCTCGTAAAATTAGTTGCTGCTCCACTGAAGGTGTCTTCGTGTCATGATCATATACTTGAAGCCATTTACATAGAGGACTTAATTTCCAAGATAGCAATTGTCATTCATTTCTTTCCAGATACTGCTCAGGCTTAGTGAGTATTAAGTGGAACACTAACATTTTTTTTTTTTTTTTTTTAAACTTCCCTATCTTTGTTATATACAATCATATTATAATGTTGGTATGCTTTTAGTTAACCCTCTGGATACCGGATTCTTTTATAGTGCAAACCCTTGAATACCGGATTCTTTTGCAGTGTAACAAGGTTTTTTGCGTTTTTTGAGTATACGTCGTTGTGGTGGATTTTTGGGAACTTTCTGTAAATTATACAGAAAAATGTTTCTAAAAACAAAGAAAGCTTATAGAATAAGCTTTCATTTGATGTATAATTTGTATTTTTGGGAATTTTTTTTCATAATATAATATGATATATATATAATATAATAGAAATGACCGAAAAATGCTACATATAAATCGTCAGCAAAAACCGAAAAAAAAATAAATTATAGCCAAAAAAAAAATAAAAACAAATATAAAACATTCCTATTCCACATAGTTATATAATTATTTACCCAACCATCCATAACTACTGTATAAGCGCGATCTTTCCATTCAAAAGCGTCGACTACCCTCACATTTCTAGGCCTAGGCTCATCTTCATCAAGAACATCTCCGCCGTCAGAACTGCTTGAACCCCACCGTCATCATCGCTAACAGGCAAGTCTAAGTCTCGCACATCTAAAAATTCACCTTCATAGCTGTCTGAATAAAAAATCAGGTCAATCGCTTGCTCAGCTATGTACACATCTTGTGCGGCCATTTCGAAAAATTTTTGAAATTAATAACGATTTCAAATTGATATTTCTAAAAAATTTTATATAAGCGCATGTGAGTTCTTTACAGATTTCGAAAGACAAAAGCTTCACGCATGCGTGTTCAAAATCTCTGCCGTATTGGAGCTAAAATAAAAACAGAAGAGCGATTTGAAAACCACCTATTTTTTAGTCACGAAATTTCGATTGCAGTCGAAAATGGGAATTCTCGGTTTGAGGTCAATTTCGACTACAGTCGAAGATGGTATCTAGAGGGTTAATATCAATATCGTTCCTCACCTATGACCCCATCCAACAATAATGACACAGATCTCTAACCAGAAATAGTATGTTGTTAGAAGGGGTTTCCTCCATAATGTTAAAGATGCCCGCTCCTGCCGTTGAAGCTCCCTCTCTCTTCTGTCGGATAGTAGATGCTTGTGTTCTGGACGAGTTGATCCATTAGCTGTGATTAACTGCTTGAGACTTACTTTTGTATTTGTTTGCTGATACATTTTATCTGCTTTAACAAGCTTGGAAACCTAGAGAAAGGAAGATAAAAGTCTTTAAAACATAATAGTAAAAAAAAAAATATATTTGCATCTAGCACAGTTACTGTATTATATAGTGTTAGGAAAAGGATGCCCACTTAAAAAGACATAGGGCCTTGTTGAAAACTTAAAAAATCAATTTAATTATGTAGGCCATGGCATATACAATTTTGGAATGATTTGTGAGGAGATACTGACTGTACACTAACCTGATATATTAAGGTTAAGCAAATTTGAGTTATTAGCAACTAAATCATACACTTTTGTTTGTTGTATTAATATGGTAAAATAACGTCCTACTGTAGTAAACACCACTTGTCACTCAGACTTATTTATTAGATATTATATACTGTAATAGATATACTTTGCGTAATAACGGAAACAAAATTCATTTGAAAGCCCAAAATTGTTTAGTAATTGTTGAAAATCTAGGAGGGTTGTTGTTGGATGGAGTTTCAGATTCAGATCTGTCTGATATTAATTATTTGTGGTTAATGAATTTATCTCTGTGTTGATGCTTTAAGGCCAACTCAGACAGCACTGTACGATTTGATGACGCGTCGGATCTGTGCGAGTTAAAAACAGACGCGATGGTCTGCATTGGAGACAGTTGCGTCAAGTATATATTAAACATGATTAATATTTTCACAAAGGATTAAGACTGTTCCCCAACAATGAAAACGCTGTCTGAGTTGGCCGTAAGGCAGTGAAATACAATACTGTACACCTGCCAACCATCACACATAATGTATGAGACTCACACATGAGCATCCACTTTTTACGAAGTTATACCAACCGACGACTGTAATCAATAGCTGGGGTGCACTATAACAGCTTTGGTTTGGTGACTAATTCGGTCTATTAACAAGTTATATAGCCTGATAGGCCTAGGTACAGTAGGCCTAAAAAAAGTTAGCCTAGAAGCCAATTATATTCTTGAAATAGTGTAATTGATACAATCAATGAGGTGGGGCCAGGTAGAACGCCTAGTAGAACAAGTCAATGAGAGATGTTTGCACTATGCATGCAGCATGCATGCAGGGCCCAGGCCCGGGGTAATTTATCAAGGTACGTGTTGTAACTTCTGCTTTTAAATTTAAAAGAAGTAAGTGCCTGGATACATCTAGGCCTAGCCTACAGTATATAGTAGGCTACTCTAGGCCTAATACCTAGGCTAGGGCCTATAGGGTAGGTATATAGATACCTACCCTACAGAGCATCAAGACCTAGGCCTAATTCGGCCTGCGAGGACCTAGGTAAGTCGGTTTACATTTCTAACTATCTAGCTTATCCTGGGCCCAGGCCAACAGTCAAGCTGACCTACGCCTACTTCTGTAACTACGGCACCAGGCCTCAGGCCCGCCGCCTAGGCTTGTCCTATCCATCCATTCCTATTCCGGCTCTACGTACGGCCTAGCCTAGGTGAGGTCACTTTATTTTATGGACTTACTAATTCAGATTTTATTCCTTTCGTTGTAAGTCCTCGATCACGTAATCTCTGCCTCAATTCTGAAACCTTTAACTTAGAGTAGTCCATTTCTAAATAAATTGTTTAATTCCAATGACGATAAACGACGTCGAAGAATCAGCTGAACACACGCATTTAAAGAGTCGTTTCCCTATCTATAACACGACCAAACACACGCCCTCTTACGGCAAAATCGTTTAGCTCTCTAAAAAGTTGTTGGTAGCCAGCTGGCGAGCCACACGTCACCGCTGTGATAAAAATAAATATGGAGGAACTGATAAAAAATGTAATTGTTCATTTGAAAGGATAAAAATAATTCAAAACCCCTAATTACTTCTAGCTAGCTACACGTCACCCGCTGTAATGTAATATACAAAAAAAGTACAGTTACCGATAATCTAAGCTGACAGGGCAAAGCAA